CACGAGTTCACGGGTCTCCCAGGTCTCTCGTTCCTCGGTTCCCACGGCGACAGTTGGGTCCACCTGGTGCTCAGGTCACGAGTTCATGGGTCTCCCAGGGTCTCTTGTTCCTCGGTTCCCACGGCGACAGTTGAGTCCACCTGGTGCTTGGGTCCTGAGTTCATGGGTCTCCAGGGTCTCGTTCCTCGTTTCCCACGGCGACCGTTGGGAGAGGACACTCTGGAGTGCTGTGTTGATGGTGCTGTTTTGGTTTTGTTTGCTTTTTTTTTTGTTTGGTTTTGTTTGCTTTTTTTTTTACCTTTTCAAATCAACTTTATCAAAATATAGTTGAAATGAAATAATAAAATGTATCCAGTTTAAGTGTACCATTGAGTGAGGTTTTTTGTTTAGGCCGAGTCTCAACGGTCTCCCTGAAATTTTAAAGAGCCACGTGCCTGCATAGCCATCATGACTGCTAGTGCCTGCTCCTCCCTGGGGCCTTCTGAGGAGGTGAGGCTGCACAGCAGGCTGAGCCGCATCTGTTCGTATTGGGAGAAGGTGGGGATTGGTGTGGTGTCAACTCACTTTTATTCCTTAAAGTTCCTTCTCACCTGCCCTCAGGCTCTCCCCAGCTCTGCTGAGTTGGCCTGGGGCTTCTACTAAACTAAGAGGAGAGGCATTTGCTCTGTCCTTAGTGAGGTGCTGAGAGATTTGTGTCAGAGTCCACCTGGTGCTCAGGTCACGAGTTCACGGGTCTCCCAGGTCTCTCGTTCCTCGGTTCCCACGGCGACAGTTGGGTCCACCTGGTGCTCCGCGAAATGGCATGGTACACATCAAACCCTAGATATCCAATTATTACTTTTCATGATAAAATCACTCAACAAGTTACAGCACTTTGGCAGGGCGAGAGGGCAGAAACTTGAGGTCAGGAGTTCGGACACCAGCCTGACCAACATGGAGAAACCCATCTCTACTAAAAAAAATACAAAATTAGCCTGGTGTGTGGGCACATGCCTGTAATCCCACCTACTTGGGGGCGAGCAGGAGAATCGCTTGAACCGGGAGGTGGAGTTGCAGCCGAGACCGCGCACGCACTCCAGCCTGGGCAACAACAGCAAAACTCCTCTCAAAAAAAAAAAAAAAATGCAGTGTCTCCTCTGTCCCCTTTGACCAGGAAGCCAAAAGCATGGAGCTGCAGGTGGGCCAGCCAGTTCCTGCTGCTGCAGGATTGTACATCCCTGTTTCCCAGTGAGCCACCCAGACTTGGAGGACCAACTATTAGAATTCCTTCGTTTTTCACCTGGGAGAGCATACAGAGTCTCGCTCTGTCGCCTAGACTGGAGTGCAGTGGCATGATCTCGGCTCACTGCAAGCTCCGCCTCCCCGGTTCACGCCTTTCTCTTGCCTCAGCCTCCTGAGTAGCTGGGAACTAACAGGGCCCACACCACGCCCAGCTAATTTTTTGTATTTTTAGTAGAGATGGGTTTCACCATGTTAGCCAGGATGTCTCAATCACCTGACTCGTGATCCGCCCATCGTGCCTCCCAAAGTGCTGGGATTACAGGAATGAGCCACTGCACCTGGCTTGTGTTTTAATTTTACTAATGGTTTGCTTTGCATACTCGTAAGTCTGTAAAGGCCGTGTTTCTCTACTCAGAACTGTGGATGTTGGAAGTGAATTGTGGCCTCCCTGGAGTCCGGCAGTTCCCAGACAATGGTGCTCACTCTGCCATCTATCCTCAGGTGCACATTCTCCACCCTCCCCTCGTCCCAGCAAGTACCGCTCCCTCCTCACAGACTACATCTCATTGGCCAAGACACGGCTGGCTGACCTCAAGGCAAGCTGCCCCTCCATGCCCACTCCTCACACCTGTCCCGGCAGAAACTGCTTTGTTTTCTTGTTCTCATTCTGTCTCTTCTCCTGAAGTTTCTATAGAAAGCATGGGACCTATGAGGATTTGTCATCAGCTGAGGACATTACTGGAGTAACGTTGCTTGAGCCCTGCAGGGTCTCAGCCAGTCACGCCCACCATGCAAAGTCCAGTTTCCTTTGACTCTTGAGTTGGAGCTTGAGCTTTTACGTCTGGTCTCTGCCTTGGGCGCAGCTGGGGACTAGGCTCTGGAGCCTTTGTTTTTC